AATCCCAATCCGAGAGACTTTAATTTATCCAAACCTTTATCTTTTATTGAGTATAGTTTTGTACTCTCCGATTCATTTTATACGGGCGGTAGAATCGAATTTTTCCATCATCTCCAGTTTAGTGCAGTGCGTATTCTTTCCTTGAGCAACTTTCTCACTTTTATAGATTTAGTGGTTGGTGGTTAAATTCATGCACTAATTTATTTGGCACATTCAAGATGATTTACTATTTGTTCGTACCCTCAATTGGAGTCATTACTCCTCTATTCAAGTTAATTGAAATATTGTTGTTTATTGAGGTTCAGAATGGAATAGAGATAAAATTGTTATTCAATAGATTGAGTTTTGGGTTTCATGGGTTGAGTTCAGTGGCATAGAAATATTCGATGAGTACACGGATTGAGTTGATATTCGATGCAATAGAAATATTGTTGTTATGATCGAATATAAGAGATGAATACTCAAATTCGAACCAAAAATATGGTTGTGTTTTTCTTAGTTTTTAATTTGAAGTAATTTTTCCCTGTGATTTGATGTTGAATCGTTAAATGAACAAGTAAACATCTGTTGGTCTTTATTAGCTTAAGTTGTTTTGACGTGGCTGGTTTTTAAGATTTTGGATGAATTTTTCTTTTCTCTTTTCTCTGGGCCGAAGAGATGCCAATTTTTTTTTTACTTATTGTTCAGTGTTTGGCATAGTTCTAGAGTTAATTCTAGAGCTATTAATTAAGTTAAGCCTTCATTCTATGGTAGAATAATATACTATTTTTGTTCAAGTATCCTTTCACTAAAGAAATTGCTTTCATTATATAGTTATAAAGTTGAAAATATTTTATGGGTAATGATGATATTTTGGCAAATTGTAACTGCAGGTTGAGGGCTTAATATGCTGGATATTGAGAATCAAGAGGATATTTGTTATGATGATCTTCTTGGAACAAAGTATGAAACTGTTGATGATCTCATTACAGGTGCAAGAAAGTTTTACTTTCTTCAAGGATACAGTTTATCAATAAGATGTTCTCGGAAGGACAAGTATGTTTATCTTGATTGTGATCGAGGAGGCAAACATCACAACCATATCTCAGCAGAGGAAAGACAAAGACAGTAGGCGTGGAGGTAGGGGTGGGGGAGGAAGAAATTGGATCACCCATTTGCAGGGAAGCGTAGGATCAAGATGATTTAGCTATTTCTTGATAGCAGGGCTCTTGATACCATAATAAGAATGGTAGTTGATCATGTATTACTGAGTTGTACAATACTGTATAAATACAAAGATGCCTAGATGAATATTACCACAATTTAGTCTATATACAGATTGATATAAATTAGGAAAAGACATAGCATGATCTCTATAATTACTGGAGGTAAATCAGATCACTGGAATCAAGGGAAATAATCCTTCATCATTAATTCTGAATGTTATCCTCTATCACTTTTCACTTAAACATCACTAGTTTAGTAATCCTCCCACCCATATCCATTCTTAAGTGAGTTTTAATCAATAATTGAAACGTTGTTTAGACCACATTCCGCTCTCCGAAATTTGGAAAATTATTCCATTGTTGCTTCCATTAAGTACTAAGACTGCACAGTACGAGGTCAATAGTGAGAATGAATGAGTATGACACACCTAATAATAGTCAATATATCTAGTGAGAGCGATAATGGTTTTTTTGCTCGAACATAATGTAATGAAAAGTTACATTATGTGCATCCAAAATAGGAGACTGACAGATCTCGAACCTCACGGGCAATTAAACAATGCTTAGTTGTAATCCTCATTGAAACACACATTCGACCTTACCAGACCAGTAAACTAATACTTTGATTGAAACATAAGGAAATGACTGATACTAAAACTTTACCTAAAAGGAACAATCGGAAGTTGGTTGCCACTACACAAAGGAGATGTAATTTGGCCAGCCTGCTCTGTGAGCAACTCAACATTTTCAACCTCTTTTATGGAAGCATCAAAATCTGTATGAGGCCAAATAATTTCACCAATTCAGCATTTTATAGATTCCCCATCAATGTTGTATCAGTTCCAAGGAAGCCCTTTGTAGTGTAACACATTTCTGTTAGTAGTCATTGTCGAGTGTTTTGTTTGTTTGGACATCCACTAGATAAAAATTAAAGATTTTAGTGATCAAATTCTGCAATATTAGACAGCAATTTATAGTGGAGATATTAACAATGAAGTAGTAAAGTTTGTTTACATGTTGCGTTTCCAGACAGAACTATGTATTTCCGCTGGCACTTTCTATAACAGCATTACCGTTTTTGTAATTTGCAAGAAAACAGCATGAAAAGACACTAACGACTGGGAAATCTTAAATCTTAATCTTATCTGAATTCACAGAAACAAGTCATCCACTTAGTTAATATAGTAGTAGTTTAGATGATGAAAAAGGAAAAAGGTCATTAAATCAAAAAGGAGGTCATTAAATCAAAAAGGATTATCAATTTTGGCCCATGCAGGTCTCGAACCTGCGACCTTCGCGTTATTAGCACGACGCTCTAACCAACTGAGCTAATAGGCCATCACGTCAAAGCATTGGAGTGTTAAATTTAAATTAGCAATCGATTTTAAAATTAATCCACTGTTTCCAATATTTATTCAATTTATTTATTCATTTTAAATTTATATTTAGCAGATTAAAAAGAAAAGAAAATTTTGTTGATACAGTTCAACCGACATTACGATAAAGCATAAACGGATCTGGTGGCTCTTTCCAACTGAGCGCTAAAGGAGTGTAACACCACCTTTCAGTTTGCTTTTACCTAGGTCTTTTTTTCTTTTTGAGATTTCACTAATTCAATCTATGATTCAAATTCTTTATTATCTTCTTATATATTTGATCTATAAAATCTTACGAACTCAATTAAGTCTAAGTTGAAATTATACGCAGTTCAAAACATATCTTGAAACTCAACCAAACATAAATAAATAAAAACACACGTGGTTGTTACTGTATAACAATTTTATTGTACCACAAGTATTTACCCTTTAGTAGTAGTTGATTCAATCCAAAATAAATGATAAGAATAAAAATGGTTGTTAGAAATAAAGAATGATATCCAGCATTTTTACGTGTATGACAAAAGGGTTGGTTCCGATACACTATTCTCTCTATTTTAGAAAAATTCAAACTCAGACAATAAATTCAAAAAATAAAATAAAATAGGCTACATTGATCCAAAAAAATAAAATAAAATTAATTTTCTTTAAAATGGATGAAGTATTATGCATGTTTGTGCGAAAATAATCTGTGGAAACTGACGCACGCTTGCAAACAATATCAAACGAAAGTGTGCAATCCGTGAAGTGCAAAATATTCGGCTAGGCGTGAAAAGAAAGATGTAAAACTTGTGATAACTTGGATAAAAATTGAATTGCTAATTAAACGAAATACAATAAGTATATCGAATGAAAAGACTTGTAAAAAAGTATCAAGAATAAAACAAAGGGGTGGTAAAAGAAAGAAGAGCTTTGCAGCTTGTGTTGTATTTGTGCTGATGATGAATTGATTTCTCTGTCACTCCTCTTTTTCGCTTTATATAGGGTTCAGTAATCGTCTAAGGCGGTGCGATTTCCGATTCCTACTCTGATTCGATGTTGCTGATTTAGAGTTGAAATTGAAGTTTATTTCCGATTTCTTGTTTCCTTCTTCAATTGTAACACCATTTGGACTTGGTTTTGGCTTTCTTAATGCCGGGTCGGGCCTTCGACGCGTATCCTTCACCGATTCGGGAATGGACTACATTGCTCTGTATCGGATATGGATTTCTTGCGAAGCTGGACCGATTCACCACTTTTGTTGGGCCGGTTCTATTTTTAATTAAAATAGGTTCTAACAATGCATTATAATTGATTGCGAGCAATAAAAATAGATATCACCTTGGCCACATCTTACTCCCTCCATTTCATTTATGGCTATTAAATGAATTTTGCCATTGGTACAGTGGTACTTTATATACCAACAAGAAATGAAAAGAGACGTATTCTAAAAGAAAGTTTGATGGTAGTGAGAAAGTGAAGAGTGCATTTGATCATGTTAAAATGAGGAAATGAAATTCATGTGATTGAATTTGACATAGCTTTGCTATATGATATTGGAATAGGTAGGACATCCAGAAACGAAGCGCTATTTTTGTTTTAAAAATAATTGTAATTTTAGTATAAAAATTTAAATTTGACAATTCAACCAAGGTAGAAAATGTCCAAAGATTGTGACTGAAATTGATGTGAGCTAATAAGATCAAGGAGTACTTCTTATTAGTCCCTTACAAGTACTATGTATGGTAGTACCAACAACATTCAATATTTTCAACAGATTGACAGTGAAATCAATACACAGTGATTATACTAACAAATACATATTCCGTAAACTACTTTCTAGTACAAACAACTCACGTGACACATTTCATTTATCAGTCAAAGGCAAAATTACTTCTGGAAAAGAGATGGAATTGCTACAATTTTACTTCAATTTATGTGACACGTATTCTCGTATATCTTAAGTTCCCTATATCATAACCCGGTCATTCATTCTATACAGGTTTTAAGGTTTCATCCATCCAACTATGTTCTGAGTAAGCAAAAACACATCAGACACACACACACACACACAGTCGGCTCATTCTCCAAACCGATCATCATCCTCATCATCATGGCTGCAGAATTCCAATTATCCGACATTCTTCTCTTCTTCATCGGGCTGATTTTTCCAACCATTATTATCTTCAGATTAATCCTCAAAAATCGTTCTAGAAACTCTCGCCTTCCGCCAAGTCCATTAGCATTGCCAATCATAGGCCATATGCATCTTATTCCCCGAATCTCCCACGGAGCTCTTCACAAGCTTTCCAAACGCTACGGACCTTTGATGCACTTGCGCCTCGGCTCGATTCCTTGTGTGGTCGCTTCATCCCCCGAAATCGCCCGATTATTTCTAAAAACACACGATTTGCCCTTTTGCAACCGGCCTAATACGTCCATGGTGGATCATTACATTACATATGGTGCTCAGGACTTCACTTTTGCACCATATGGACCTTACTGGAAATTCATGAAAAAAGTGTGCATGTCTGAGCTTCTTCACAGCAAGACATTAGACCTCTTACGCCCCATCAGGCGCGACGAGGTATCGGGATTCCTGGATTTTTTGTCGCGTAAGGCCGAGGCTCAGGAGGCGGTTAATCTTTCTTCGGAGCTTGTTAGGTTGACATTCAATGTGATATCTAGAATGGCGATCAAGAAAAGATGTTCTTCTGAAATTGAAAGCGACGACAATGATGATCGTGTTGCTGGAGAAATAAAGAGATCGATCCAAGATATGTTGGATATCAAAGGCATGTTTAATGTGTCTGATTTTGTTTGGTTTTTGAAGCATTTGGATTTTCAGGGATTGAGGCAAAAAAGTAGAGACGTGCGGGAGAGGTTTGATAATGTGATTGAGAAGGTCATTAAGGAGCACCAAGAGGCAAGAATTTTGATGAAACCGAAAGTTGGTGGAATGAAGGATTTGCTTGATATATTGCTGGAAATATATGATGATGAAAGCTCACAAGTGAAGCTATCAAGAGAAAACATCAAGGCTTTCCTCCTGGTAAAATTTCTTGATTCATTTTTTCTATTCTTCCACTAGTATTAGTTTTTTGTTGTTTTTCTGATAGATCCAAACTAGCTAGCAAAATTGACCATTTCGTTAGAAGAACCTCGTGTTCATAAGGTATTTAGGTTAGAGCATTTTGAATTGTTTACTATAAACTAATACAGGTGGGAGTTATTATTATTATTTTTTTTTAAGTGAAATAAATGAGAGTAACAAATACATGCAGGTAAACAAAATGTTGTTTCCAGTGTACAATAGTACTTTCATGGAATATAAGACATCATATCAAAAGTTTACAGGTTGAATATCTGAGAGAGGCAGCTAGGATTCTCAACTTTTACAGTCACATTTCTTTTTAAAAAAAATCAAAACCTAAGAGGTGGGACTTTGGGAGCCTGTGTTATTATAAATTGTAATCTTTTTACTATATCTCACCAAGCTCACTAAACCAATCGCCTTCAAATTGACCAGCCATTTCTTTATCACAACAAATCAAAGAAAGTAGGAACAAGATACCCAATACGTATGCGAATAAGAGCTCAGTTTGTTGAACCTTATTTTTGTGCTTAAGGAGTGGTTGTGGTTACTGTATCGTTTCATTCTACTAATCAGCATAATGGGAAGTCCCCCACGTAACAATTATGTTTGCTCTTTCATACATTTCAAATTTCCAACCGATTACTTCAACCAACAGAATTTGATCACTATCAGTTTTATCTAAATGGAACTAATATTCACTATTTGTTCAAATTTATATGTAGAATATATTTGCAGCTGGAGTTGGCCCTTCTGCAGTTACTATAGAATGGGCTCTAGCAGAGCTGATTAACCATCCTGACATTATGAAAAGGGCAATGAAAGAAATCGATTCTGTAGTCGGAAATGCTAGACTGGTGGATGAATCAGATGTTGTGAACCTACCATACCTTCAAGCCATAGCAAAAGAAACACTCCGACTTCATCCCCCAGCCACAATCATAAAAAGAGAGTCAAGTGAAGCGTGTGAGATTGGAGGCTATCATATACCAGCTAAAACTAGGCTATTCATCAATGTTTGGGCTATTGGAAGGGACCCTGATCACTGGGAAGATCCCCTGCAATTCTGTCCAGAGAGATTCCTACGCGACGAGTCGGGGAATGGAATCGAAAGCCAAACAGATGTAAGGGGCCAACATTTTCATTACTTGCCATTTGGTAGTGGAAGAAGAGGGTGCCCTGGAAGTACATTGGGTTTACAAGTTATGCAAACATGCCTTGCCGCTATGATTCAGCGATTTGAATGGAAAATCGTTGGTGAAGAAAAGGGTGAACTGGACATGAAAGAAGGGGTTGGCAACACACTTCATAGAGAGCAACCTTTGATTTGTTTCCCTGTGATTAGGCACAATCCGTTTTCAAAATCAACCTTAGCATGATTTGTTTGCCTTAGTTTCTTACCAGGACACTTAATTATGTCTACATTGATGCTTGTGTACTTTCTTTGAATTCAGTTAATTTGTTGTTCCATCATATTAGATGAAAGAACTCGAGAAATCCCTTTACTTATAGAGCAAAATGTAAAATCTTATTCTCTTTAATAACAACAATTGGATACATCTAAGAGCAGGGTTAAATACAGGCTTATTCTGAAATACATCTAGAGCAGGGGAAATAAAATGTCATCTCTCAGACCCAAATGTAGTCCGGGAAAGTCCATAACCAGAAAAATGTTTTTAAAGGGAACAGCCCAACCAAATCCTTACTTCACCAGCTTGGTCAATCTTCTTGTGCTCATAGCAAAACCATTCCTTTTTCAGTTTCTGCATTTCTGTCCATGTTGGCAGAGATATTGATATGGCTGAACTATCCACTTCAAAATTGTTGATCAGTGCATTTTTGGGGGTTTTCTTTTCAGCTCTCGAGAAGAAAGTCACAAAAAAAAAAAAAAATACATAGTAAAGGCCAATATGTTTTTGTACACTTTGCTAAGAAAGGTAATGCTGCAAAATTGAGTGGAAAGTAACCATCAAAATGAACAATCCACTCTTCACACCACAATTTGACAAGCCTGATTAACAGGAGGAGAAGAAGCCAATGGCTTTCCCCTGCCCATTGTGAAACCTCTAGTTCCATCAGGCATTTTTGGACCCTTTACAGTTTGTCTTGTAACTGGTGCTTCCCCAAGGTTAAAACTATGTTGTGGTGACAATGAGAGCAATCCACGACCACTGTGGCTGCTGGTAAGGCGGTGTCGTGGTTTGCTGGTTCGCCCTTTGCCCCACATTTTGTTTGATCCTCCTGAGAATTCTTCCTCCTGGAAATCGAAAATTTGCACTAATAGTGAATAGGGATTCTTGTATACAACAGTACTTCAAAGGAAAGTCAATTTTCTGGAAGATTTGTGAGTATGTCAAAATGAGAAAAGTGCAGACTTGGAAAAAGGGATGCTCACGTTAATTTCAGTGGCTAAATCCAAACCAGCAAGTGGGGAAGGAGCTTCAGGTGATCCTGATGGTGCTGGTGGTGACTCGCAGTCGTCAAAAATACCGTCGAATTCAGACTTTCTAGTCTTCAGAACAGACTTTGGCTGCAGAAAAGTTATACAAATGAATTCTATTAGCGTGTTGATGTTGAAGGGAAACAAGACCAAAAGGATAATAATGGCAAGCAATTCGAGACTTGCTTATTCTGACATACCGATGATCGCCTTAGCAAGCACCTCACTCTTAGTCCTTTTCTCCAGTTCTTTTGATCGTTCAGCTTCTCAACCTGATGAACAAAACCGGTAAAAAATGATTAATTAAAAGTCAAAAGAAAACCCGCAAAGGGAAGAGGAATCTAAGAAAGAGTTTTTGACATACTGCTCTCTCTGCTGAATCGCTGTTCTCGAACTCTACCAGAGCATGCAGCTTTAAGACAAACGGAAACAAACAACAATCGACAAATTAGGCCGGAGATGAACATAAAATATCGTAACTAATCTAATCATATATACGAGATTGAGCGATTCTGAAATTGACACTACTTTTCACACGTCATAATACCTTAGTGCTGATTATAAAATCTCCCTTGGAACGATTATTAGGATCTTGAGGGTGGCAGATGCGGATGGTTTTTACACTGAAATGAACACAAAAATACGTTTGTATGTTGTCATTCCCATGATGACACAGTGGTAAAGGAAATTAGACAAACAATAGATTAAGTTAAATGAAGATGTACCTTCCAGCCACATTAAAAATTTTCTCAATGTTTTGGTGGGAGTGATCATCAGGTAAGTTTTCGGCAACAATTGTCCGCAACTGCAGTTCCTCTTTCACTTTATCCGTGAATGGGACTTTTCGTTTGACCCTTTTCATATCACTGCTTACATCCTGAAAATAACACATAAAAAACGCACGAAATGTCAGGATCAGATATGAAAAGATGTAAAGGAAACACGTCAAGAAAACAGAGGAAATGCCCAAAAGTGCTAACCAGTTTTGTGGATGTCTTAAGAGCCTGAGCAAGCAATGCGTGATTACTTCCGACAAGGGACTTGATTTTCTTGGTGGATGATACATTAGCGATTGGAACTGTTACATTGTCAAAACAAAAATTATTACATGTTAAAAAGGCTTGGACATGAAGGAAGACATTGAGCGGATCATGATGATCCGCAATACTAATTCTGATTCAATTTCTTACCATATCCTTCAGGGTCCTTGCTAATCTGTTTCGCCAAGTTATCATTAGCCAACAAACTCATGTCACTGAATTGGTATTCCATCTGTTTCAGGATCTTCCTTTGAAGCTCTTCAGTGAGGACAGCAGTTTTAGGTTGCTGATTATGAACCGCTGAATTGGATTTCGAATTGGAAACCAAGGACAAAGCGTCCTGTTCACCCAAGAAAATCCAATCACCGCCATTTCCCCCGGTGCCCATAAAAGGGAAGCAAGGAACAAAGTATCCGGAAATAGGAACCGGAGCCGGCGGCCGAGGAACAAATTCCGGTGCATCTACATTGAATCTAAAAGAAGCATCTTGATGGTGGTGGTGATGGGTGGAACTATCCTTGTTGAAACAAAAGCTCTGTTCTTGAAGAATCATGGTTGTTTCTTTCTCTGGAAGATGATGATGCTGTGCTTGTGCCATTTTTTTAATTTTGTCCCACGTTTTTTATAGTATGAGATTATTATCAGATTAAGGGACAAATGGTGACGGAAAAAATTAAACGATGAAGATGGGATTTCTCTGGTGGGATTGAATTGTGAACACTAATTAAAGATTCCCAAAAAGTTGATGATGATGATGAATCTATGATCGCCACACTCCTTCCTCCTCCATTGGGGTGCGAGTGGTTGGAGCGGGAAATTTGCCGTTCTCTCATCAAAGTCAACAGTAACCGAAAGGTTTGTGTAATCTAGAATTCTTGTGCATCAATCAAAATTTTCACACAGTCACATAGTATCCGATTTTCATTCTTTACACTTAACGGGGATTGACCGTTTATTTTGTACCCTTTCTTGGGGTTGGTTTGACTCCCCTTTTTAAGGTTCGGAGATGTTATTCGTTGACACGTGGATTTACCTTTTTGAATAACTTTTTTTTTTTTGACCTTTTTCACTTTTTTCACGTCCTGCTGAATGGATAATGCGATGCCCAAATATAGTCAGTCCAGCCCATTCTTTTGGTCTAATGAAATGTTTTTACCTATTGGGCTGCTAGTGTCATGTGAAATGATATCAACCATTTTGGGCTCTTTTTGTATTTTTCATTACTTTATTTCAATCGCATCGCAGAAATAAAGAAATAATAAATTCCAGCAAGTTTGACTCACCTATTTTCTCTTAATTGACAAAATGCTCATCTCAATATTTCTTTTTTTGGATGGCAATTTAAGAATACAAATCTGAGGGGGAGAATGAATTTGCTATAGTCGCCCCCTTCTATTTTTTTATTAACATAATTATTCTGAAATTTGATAGAAATTTGTTCATTTAACTCATTTCCCACCTACTTAAAAAATATTGTAGTCATACAGATGACTTTTGTAAATTTCACATCTCTCTTGTAAAATTAATCTTACCTACGTCAGAGCACAAATTTTACTAGTAATTACAACTAAAAAAAATATTAACAAGTCACATTTACAAGTGCAATGAACTAGCTAGACTGGACAGTTTTCGTATTTCTGGCCCTTAGTGTTTAAACTGGCTTTTTGTTAAACTCAGTGGATCGATAAAGCAAAGGTGTTACAGATTGATACGATTACGTAACTACAAATAGCAGCATAAATGCAGAAAGAATGGATCAAAATTGCCATGTTGCTTTGACCAATTAATGGTGGCACACTGGCTTTAGCTTTCCTAGTAAAAAAATAAATAAATAAATAAAGTATCGCTTTCGATCTACGTATATGTGTGTCGTGGGGATGAAAGATCTTTCAACAATCTTATTAACCTAATCAGATTAATTGAGCAAGTCATGTTGATCTGCAACCTTATAACCATCAAAAAGGATTAGCAATTCTAATTAATTTCCACCAATGGGTGATAACATTATCTCTCATCATTTCAACCGCCTCTCATCAATTAATTAATTTTTTTTCTTACAATATAGTACAATTAAGGACGATAAGCATGACATTAGTTAAAATATTGCAACGTCATACATGTTTGGATCAAGTAGTATTACTAACAAATAAAATTATGGTCAATTGTGATAAGGATTATATAATCTATGATTGTCTATTCAGAGTCAGTCTATGAAACTTAATTGGTGTAGTATTTGATCAAGTGTATGGAATCTTTATTTTATATCTTTTGAGGTGATCCAACCCTATGTGGGTGAAAGAGTCAAGACTGCAATAGCTTTGATTAATGTAAGATTCCAAATGCGATGATAAATGATATGTGTCCAAGGTATCCTAGCTGTTCGACATTGATATAATGAATAATACATTGATTTGAAAAAAAAAAAAAAAAAGTCGAGTTTGTGGATGATGCTTATCTTTGTTCGGCTTCTAATTCACGGGTCTCAAAATAATTTTGTAGTTTGAGTTTTTATTTTTTGTACAAATTTTTTCCTTTTTTTTATCTTGTTAAAACAATTCCAAATTACTGCGATAACTTTAGAATGAAAACCCGATTCATCGATGTTTTTCGAAGAAGATATTCCAAAAGAAGAAGAAGGAAAAAAAAACCCTCCATACCTATTTTTCACTTTGGAATAGGAAAAGATTTAAAGGAAGAAGAAGTTGGGGATCAAAGGAAAAGAAATAAAAAATACTCTTTTGAAGAATAAAGTAAGAAACATGTCCATCACTTAAGTATCTATTGTGTTTGAGTCTGTCAAAGTAGTGATAATTATTGGAAGACTTTTAAACCATGAAAAGATTTCATTCAAATCGAATGACATTAGTTCAAACTTATATTAAAAATAATTATGAAATTTTTTATAATTGAACCGTGATGTTATGTTACCCTAGAAATGTTATATGAAAAAGTCATTTGGCGCTTGGAACAACAACTTAGTGGATACAAAAATACAACCTAAAAGATGATGGTTTGATTACTGGTTGTGAAAAAATAGAATTAAAGGTAAACAATCAAAAAGCTAGAAGTCACCGACTGGGGCGGGTCGATTAAATTGACGGTTCAATCTTTTTCAACTATTATTATTAAAAACAAAAAATTGATCGCTTGTACGAAATCTAACCATTATCAATTGTTATGAAACGGCAACATCAAACGGGATCTGGAATTGATTCTCTTGTCTATAAGATTCTTTTTCCTATTGTTTTTGTCTATGGTTTTTATTAAAAATCTGAAAGTGACTGTTTTGTCGTATGAATTTGGATAAGTATCCCACACATAAGTACTAATCAAAACCCAAAACCCCCCACAAGCTAAACAACAAAGGATCACCTTTCTTCTTTGTTTTCAAATGACTTTTGGTTAGGTATTGATATTTGATGATTTATTTAAACCTAAAAAAACATTTGACCGTTTTTTAATGCTCTGGCTCTCTGTGGGTTTGGAGGGCCGATTATGTTCTCTACTACAAATCTACAAAACGAATCAATATAGTATTATCTTGGTTAATTACCGACATCTCCCTTGAAATTTAGAGAAATTACACCTCACTCATGAGTATTGAGTACAATAACCCATGAGATCAACCGACGGGGACGAATGGTTTTTGTGGGTGAAGGAATTTTATTTTATTTTTGTTCTCATAGTCTTATTTATAGGGCATTCGATGTTCTAAGGTTTCATTTATATTGTGTTTTTAATTTTACCCTAAACTTTAATTTTTTGGTTTCTAAATGAGTGTTGAATGTAGATAATATACGTAATTCATCGAAAAATAATTAATTATAAATTTTTCTTTATTTTACAAATTAGTTATTTATGTATTTTATATTAAGAACTAGAGAGGGTAACTTTTCGTTTCGTATGTTTTTTCAAAAAAAAAAAAAAAAACAAGAGTAGCATGTATGTATGTGGATGAAAAGAATCTGCGGAAGTCAATGAATTACACCTTTACGATTAGGATTAGAGATAAGAGAAATACTTTAGGTTTGATTAATGGAGGTAAGTCGTTGTTTTGTCAAAGAATGGGAATATTGGGGTAATTAACCCCTGCTGTTATATTAGTCTTTAGTGGTGGGGGCAGAATTTGGGAATCATATTGACCTAAGAAAATGTTTGTTAATTGTGAAGCAGCCAAAAGTGAGGCACTAACCTGCTTAGATTACGACCCCCTTCAGTTTCTTCTGGTTCTCATTGTCTATGTCAAGATTCTCCAACCAATCCCTCCATTCTTGAATGATTCTCCTTCTCCACATTTCTCTTCTTTTTTTTTTCTTTTTTTTTTAACTTTTGCTAATTCCCTTCTAGAAAATATTGCTAATTAAATACTGCATCTATTCTAAATATCTTATTTCAATAAATAAACTGAATAATCATTTTGAAACGAATCAAATAAGTAATTTGGAATTAATGAAGTTTCTAATTACAATTGGCCTGCCTAAAAATTGGAGGTGGGACGACGGAGAATATAGTCAAAATGCTTCGATTAATTTAATTGAAGTGATCAGGACGACAAAGAAGCATATTCAGTTAATCATAGACCTATACAAACACTCTAGATTCTGACAAAATATATATAAATAAAAAGAATTTCCTGCCAATTAGTTAACACCTATTGGTTCCTTTTCCTAACCTTGTCCTTCAAGTTCAATCTAATGAGAATAAATAAACAATATCATTTCCCAGACAGCTATGACTTTTGAACAAAATGATCGGGAATTCAAACCAAGGAATCTGAATTCTCCATTCCCAAAAGCCGCATCATTGTTCTCCGTAAGTTGGCTCCAGATCGATTCCTTCCAGATCATGCGATTACTTTAATTGTACCAACTAAAATGCATTAAACTATTCTGCAGATGAAGGAAAAAAAAAAAACAAATCTCATGACCTTTGCCTTTTACCAAATTGCCATGAAATTTCAACTTGGACTGCACACAAGAGGAAGAATCCTCTTGAGTGTTTCTTTCCATTAAACTAGATAAAGGGTTTTTCACATTGCTGGTCAAGCAATGTAGGTAGACCAAAAGCCTTTCCCTTTTTAGTAGACAAAAGCCTTTCCCTTTTGGTCTTGCCTGGTCTTACAAGACATCCCATCTTTTCTGTGTTTCTTCAGATGAAAGATTCCACAATGTAAACATCAGGGAAAAAAGAAGAAGGGGGTAGTATGTCACACTTGGTTTATGGATTTATTCAGTCAAAAACATCTCTCAAGAACCAAAAAGTTATCCGCAGCATGAGCTTCCTTGATCATTCACAAAGATGCTTATAATGAACATGTTTCCAAACTCACCAGATCAAAACTGTAAGAAAAAAGGGTTTATATATTTCATCTATTCCTGCAAAATTTTACAACCACTCTTCAATTTCGATCTAAATGTATGATGATGATCAAGCAATCAATTTATCTGTAATGATCCCGCAAAATATATGAGGAGGGTGAGGAGGGAGTGAATTTATCTTCTATACATCACATTACTTTTAGGATGTAAGGATGTGACTTTTCCAACTGTGGCTCTCCGATTTTTCATCTTCGTCGTCTTCCATACTATCGCCTCCTGTCATAGATGTGCCTCTAGAGGCTCCACCTAACTGTAAAGGGCACTGTGGAGAACCAGATTGCGAGTTGCTCTGTTTCGACGATTCACCATTCTGGTCCTGTGACATCCATAGACCTCCCAGAACCATAACTGATTGGTTTGCAGAAGTGCTTGTTGTGTTTGGAAGTCTTCGTGTGTGAAGTCGATACTTCTGATAAACAAAAGATTGAATTGCATTAGTCCATGTCCTAATCCGGTCAGGTTTATAATCTAATACTAATAAATTCAAATGTATACTCACTTGCAAATGACTCTTCACTTCATCATTTGTGAGACCATCAACTTGCATAAGCTCTCTAATCTGCTTAGGTGTAGCAGCTGTAGAAAATCCACAAGTCATGTCAGAATCAGATTAAAGAAAGCAATTTAAGACCATTTCACAACATCAATATAATTTTGAAAAAATCTTATCAGAATATACTGTTTTCAACAATTCTCAAAGAACCATTCCAAGTATAACAAATTGTTGAAAACTGGTGTGCACAGTGATCTTGTGGCATTAAGTCAAAGCTATCCAGATAAAACTACTATTGTGCCTCTTCAAACATGACAAATTTGTCTACCAGTAATACTTAGGAAGTATACTGGACAAAAAAGAGGAAGAATACCATGAATGAAAACAATGTTGGCCTAATGAACTATGACCTCGTGAAATCAACTATGTAAAATCAGGACAAAATAAGAACCATTCACGAGGATTTTCTGGACAAGACTTTGTGACAGCCTCCTCTCTAAGAGAAACTATAACTTGCAAACCAGATATTCAGTTGCTAGACCAAAGCATTTGGACTAATATAGAGCACAAGGCAGACATGGTTCAAGTTCTAACCTTGACAACCCCCAAGCTTATGGAGAGCATCAACAAACCTCCGGTGCAATTCTGGAGACCAACACCTTCTTTGTTTTCTAGAATTAGACTGTTGTTGCTGAGATACAACCCGCAAATTTGATTGGACACTTGGAAGAGAGCAGGGCACAGCTCTGGCAGCACAGACTTTTGAATCTAAGTTACTAGAGACAATATCCAAGTCCTCCCTTGGTTTCTTTGTCCCAAGGACAGGAGTATTAAGTGAGAGCTTAGGAACTCCTGGTAATTCATATCCATTTTCTTTACTGGTCATTGACATGGGAAAACCAGAACAACCCTTGAAGGGTGCAAATGCCGTTGCGAGGCCTTGGCTTTTACAGGATATGAAGAAGCCATCCTGGTTTTGTTCTTCAATAGTTCTCTGGATAAGAGACAACACAAAGTTAATATCAGATGGACCTCAACAATTAGAAAAAAAAAAAAAAAAAAAAAAAAGAACAAAAGAAAGGCATATGCTTAAATGTGATCACAACTCAGAACCAGTAAGATGATTACCTTTTTGCTATCTGGTTTAGGATCCTGCCCACGGTTGAGCTGAAAATCAGTTCTTCTGGGAGAAGGAGTAATATCACTATTCCAGAGCTGCACGGAACTCATCCAACTCATCTTATCTCTACAATCGTTGTTCTCTGTTTTAGTATCAACAATATTTTTCTCATCATCGTCGTCAGGAGTCTTCTTGATTGGTATAAATTCTTCCAACACGGGTTCAGCATTGGCTGATTTTCTGTACTTGGTTGATTCTTCCTTCACAGTCTTAATTGCTAGAAACAGAGAAGAACAGAAAAAAACCCGAAATCAGAATCATTTAAAATCGCCTAAACCCCGAGTCCTCAAACAAAAAAATCACAAAATCTTCAAACTAAAAAAATAAAAAATAAAAAAAAAATTCTCTCACCAAAAAAATTCAAACATTTCCAAATGAACACAAATCACGAATTTCATTAAAAAATCGAGGCCAATGAAAAACTTGATAACATCGGAAAACTCAGGGAAAATATAAATTGATATATAAACAAACGAAAAAAAAAAAAAGAACGGACCATCGTTGAGGAGGAGCATGCAAAGCGGGAGTTCACGCTTGAAGGCATCGATCTTCCTCATTTCATCATCGAGCCTCCGGACATAATAATCCAGCTTCAACAGCTTCTCCTGTACGTTACCGTCCATCGCCGAGACTTCACCGATCAACTCAATGATCGTCTTGGGAACAAAACCACAACTCTTCTCTTGTTGTGCTGCTGTATTATTATTCGCTACTGTTGTTTCCGTCAAAATCGAAACGGGTCCGAAATCCAAGCTCAGTTCCGGCGGATCAATCGAACCCATTGCTTTAACAACCACCATTTAATAATAATAAACAAAAAACAATGAAAATTTAAACAATCCCTTCCCAGATGAAATATCCAAAATTGAATTTATATCAATCAGATCCTGGGTTCAATAATAATAGATGATGGGATGAAGATGAAAAAACAAAAGTTGGGGATCTGTATTGTGAAGGAGAAGTAGGGGATATCGATTGAATTATATGGTCCTAACTTCTATGGGGGAAAAAAAAAAAGGGGGCGAGCGAGAGAAAGAGAGAAAAAGGGGAAAGAAGAGATAGGAAGATTCTCCTAAACAACGCCGGGTTTTGACAGCGAGAAATTTGGGATAAAAATATATTCCAATCTCGCGTCGTCGCGTATAAAATATATCTATTTTTCTTTTCTTTTTTATTTTCCTTTTAACTTTTTGTGTAACTGAAATAACTCGGAGGATTTTTGCGTCTTTGACTTAGCAAAGCGATTATTTCTGGTATTCTATTCCGTTCCAACTTGGGATACTTTACAGCTTCAATGGACCATTCTACCCTTAAGAATCTCATTGTCTTTCCTTTTTTCTTTTTTTTTTTACTCGGAATATTCTTTTCACTAATACAAGATTTTAATAGATTCTTCTCTCACAAGGAAAGTAAAAAAATCATTTACCCTCCATGATTTTCGTTACCTGATTCGTGAATATAATTATTTTGCAGTTTAAGGACGTGATTTTGTCCAAAACTTGATTTATCTACGTTTTTATGTGACTGTGAGATGCATAGTTGTAATCATGAAATATCTTAGTAAAAGATTGAATTTATTAACTTGATTAAGATCCAAAATTGTAAATCTTGGGATGAAAGCAGTAACTTTTTTTTTTTTTTTTGGAGTGAGGAATTAATAACTTTTTTTAAGTTACCAAAGCACTTGCTTATACAATTTGATTTTCGCCACATCACATCCAACTCAGTAAGTATAACTGATAATTATGAATCGGGGATTTCAATGTCAAGTCACGGATCGACAATCTGAATGGGTTTTTTATTTACATTAATTTTTATCATAAATGATTTGTAATTTTAAAATACTTTGGGGACACAATCTTGAGCTTCTCATTTATTTCAGTGTGAACATGACATTTTAGTTTCATTTATTGTACACATTTTAGTACATCAATTTGTTTGATTTTCCTCGCATAAATTGATACGATCTTCATTAGCTTGCTAATTGTCTAATTTTTTTCAATTCGAGGATATTTGGATGAGTTTACGATAACAGTTCTTCATTTGATCAAAAGAAGCATTTTAAACATTGAGTACTGACTACTGACTACAACATCGTACGGAAATATAATCTGGAGCTTTGTAATTTTTTATTTATTTATTTTTTTTACGTTAGACGATTTTTCAGCTCATTTGTATATATTACTTTCCTAAATAATGAAATTTCTAAAGTTTTATTTTGTATTATTCGTATATTCTCATATATAAGTTAGTGTAACGGTTAAAAAGTTACAGTCTAAACCAGTCGAGAATAAATAAATACTCAAAGATCTTGTTTGCGATTTGTTATATTAATAGAATTTATGACACATGATACGCATACAATTCATTTAACAGTAATATATAGTAATGAAGGATTATTGAAAGATGTCGTAAAAAAAACTAGCATGTCAATATATTAGATGACCAAAATGTACTGGATCAAGGGAGAAAATTACATTTGATTCTGAAAATTTAAGACAGTAATTGAAGATCATCAAGTATTAAATAGTAGATTTAAATCGTAATTATTTTATCTGAATCTTTGTGGTCATGTGATAGATATGAATTATTGGGGCAGAAAAAAATGTGGTTTGCCTCCTGGTACTCAACTCAACTAAAATAGAGACACCTGGATCTGTCCTTTTAGTTGGTGGAACAGTCATTTGCTAATTGTGATTGATTGGTTCCCAAACTAGATAAACAACCACTCCCACACTTTTGTACGTATTATGCGTATCTGTACAAGAAAAAAAAAAGTAGTAGTATAAGAAAATTCCACGAAGGAAGAGAAGACGAGTAGTATATCACATGGACTTTTGTAACAAAAAAGTAGTAGTACTCAAATTCTAGAACAAATACACACTCAAACAATGTATCAAACATATATTCCCTCCGTCCCATAATTATTGTCCAGTTTGAGTTTTCATTTTTAGTTCAAATTGTACTGAAAGTGAAATTTCAAACTGAACAATAATTTTGAGACAGAGAAAGTATAATATATTCGTGTTTGTTGTAAAACCGTTCACAAATTTTTGAATTGGAGTGTTTTAGGCAACAAAGGAGTACATTGTTAGATAAACTAGGTTATCTTGAGTCAATTGGTAATAGAAAGAAATTTTTCTCATCATTTGAAAAATGTTAATTAGTTTATTTAACAAAAAAATAATGCCAGGGTGCGAGAATATACATAAATATATAGAGATAGAGTGGCATCATAATATAAGGATATTGATGGTGTCTGAGACCCGTGATGCCCAAAATTGGTCATACCGCCGACTGAACGATGCATGTTCTCTCGTATACATTGTCATAATTAAAGATACCTCCCACCAATTGTCTTCCAGCAACCAAATTTTATCATGAGCCATAATAATCAGCTGGCTGGATACCATCCATTTCTTTTATTGGTTTCATTATATTTTCGTGACTTTCTCCTCCATAATGTAAAAAGGTATACCTTACCATTCTCGTAGATGAAGAAATATAAACACAAACTTGTCGTCCCAAAGATGAATATTCCCTCCATTTCAAAATAAGTTTTATTTTAACAATTTTTTTTTTTGAAATAAATGTTGTTTTTCGTGATTTCAATGCAATTTTTGGTAAAATTTGCTTTCAAAAAAATAGTTCTATTGACAACCATTTATTTATTTTAATAGGATAGGTTAATAATATTTTAATAATTTATTTATCATATTTAATTATTTCTTACATTATGTGCAAATTTTTAATTGATGATAATTATTTTAGAAGGAAGGAAAGAGCGTTTTTGTAACACTATTAAAATATTGTGGAAAATAAAAATAGTTAATTATTGTCCCAGAAAGTAGTATAAAGGATAAGAAGAACCAAGATGGAAAAGGCGACACGTGTATGAGGGAATTGACACAAGGAATATTGACTGATGGGAGCGGCAAGGTATTTTTGATTTGTAGGTAAAAGCCATAGGAAGGAATCTAGAGAAGGTGTTTGTGGGACCTGCCTTTTTCTTACGATTTCCCGGAAACAACCGGTCGGAATAATATTTGTCCGACGTCGTTGAACATACTAGTATTTAATTACAGTATTTATGCAATCCATTAATGAAAAAATGCTTCTTCTTTTCTTTTCTTTTTTTATTTCTAAAGAATTTGTTTATACGAACAAGCTTTTATTTATTTATTAGTATTTCGAAAAAAATTATATTTGTGGCGCATTAAAAAAAAGGAAAAATAACAAAATGATTCTTTTTTCAGGGAAGAATATAAAATATAATTTTCAATAAAGTTGAATGGTAGTACCACCACTATCTGGAAAAATTAATAGCAGTAATAGGATTTACTTAATCTGTGTAAAAAGAAAGAATGGAGGATTCCCCATCTAAAAAGGGAAAATTAAAACAAAAGAAAATGGTTCACACTTCACAGCTCCAGTAATCCTGTTCAGAATCTGTACTTAATTTTTTGGACTGAAACTTTTACATTTTTTAAATAGAACTACTGTACTGTAATTAATCATAAATGTTGTACTTCTAGTATTTTAATTTTTAAGAGTGTGGGAATTGTCGATACTGTAAATCCCTTCCATTGTCTCCCTGCATTTTTGTTCCTTATTGTCGGCTCCTTTCAAGTAAAGTATTGGATTCCTTCCTCAGAATCTACCAACTCCAAAGTCTCCATTCCCCACATTATAAAAAAAAAAAAATGGAAAAAGAAACCTCGATTATTTTACAAAAGTAATATAGTGTGTACTGCAAGCTCGATTTTGATTAGTCGGGCAACAATTTTAGTTGAATCAAATGGATTTATTAACTTAGACGAGATGAAGTTTTCTTTTTTTTTTTTTTTTTGTTTATTGAAATTGTCATATATAAGAGAGACCTTTGAATAGTTTGCAAGGATCAGATGAGAATGGGACGTGGCACAAAGAGTAAATTGTAAGGTTAGAATAGCAGTCAAAGGGCATAAATTCCCTTAATCATGCTTTTTTCCATTGACGTTAATGATAGCAAAGAATATGAACAAACACTTGCAGACAGGATAAATCTCTCCTAATATGCTCCAAAAGTTAATACATTTTTTTTTTGGTTAATGAAAAGAAAAAGTAAAGAAAAGCTGCATTCTTGTTCTATTAGACAAAAGAATTAGTCCTTTCCATATGGAGGTAAACTTTATTATCGTTTCCGGTATGTTATAAAAATGGTATTATGAGGCTTCGAGAATTATGGCGCCGCTTGGTTGGGGGAATAGGTGGAATGAATCAATGGACAAAAAGGAAAAAAAAAAAAAATAAACGATAAGTTTATAGTATATTCATCGTCGATCACAGTAATTATTTTAAACAACTTATTTAACACTTCAACATTAAGATTAAGGAATTTAAACTAAGGAATGTTTTGATTCATTCTTCAATCAGCATAGAAGCCAAAAGCAGAAAGACACGCAAAAATACGACTGATTCTAATATACACGGATGTGGTGGTTGTGGGGGGAACCGGACGAATTGCAAATGGACAAAGAATGTGAAAGGCAGGGTGGGAATATTTACCACTTCTTTCCTCCTCGTTGTTTTTCGTGGATTCCTCTTATAGAATCCAAGAAATGGTATCTAATGTTTCTTTATTTATTTGCTTTTACATCATGAATATCATCTATCGTATTTTTAGCTTTGAGATTCTTTCAAATTTGGGTCCTTTGTCAAAACAGAAGGTCTACAAAGCTACCACATTTTAACAAGATTCAAGCAACGAGGAGACACGCACTCCATTTTCTTTATCCTTTTTTCCTCCTTAGTATACGAACCGTGAAGTACTAGAATATTTGAAGTGATATGCGTACACTGTACACCCACTGTACTTATAAAACAAATAATCAGTCCATTTGAATCACTTATTCCTGTCCAAAATAAATAAATAAATAAATAAATAAATAATTTACATCATAATTTGTAAATTATACTAAAAAAATAATTTGCGTGTGATTCAACCGATAGAAGTGAAAATTCAGCTCGATGGCCGTCGGATCTAAAATCTAATTCTCAAATCTGCATTTTGCTTTCTCTTTTGATTCTCCAATTTGGGGCAATCACTAATACGATGCCCAAAGTCCTCCACAGAAACTACAGCCTTTGACATCAACATTTGCATTTTCCATTGGATCATTCAATGCTAACAGCACCGGAGGAACCCTTTGCTTTGCCAAAATCTAGTATAGACCTACGCTGTGCTGGATCGTGACAAAAAAAAAGTGAGTAAAACAAGTCGAAGATATAAAC